CCCCCTCCCCATCCCCATCTCTCCTCCCTACATTCCTGAAGAGCATGCCGTACCCCCCGCTAATCAACCCTTCAATTTCCAGACCATCCACTACGCCTACCGCGCCGTGCTCGCCCCGCTCGTCCTCAACCCCAGCATGTCGCCCATCCATCCCTTCGTCTGCGCCTGCGCCGCCGTCTGGCAGCTCTGCAACGCGACCGCGCTCGGCGGCTGGCTCGCCGGCCACGGCCCCCGCTCCCCGCTCGACTGGGCCGGCCGCCTGTACGTCGCCGAGCTCGGCATGGTCGTCTGGGGCTGGGGCCTGCTCGCCAACATGTACCACGACGACGACCTGCGCGAGATACGGCGCGCGGCGGCGAGGCGGCAGCGGCGGGAGCGGGAGGCTGAGGGGAAGGAAGGGGGGGCGGCGACGACGACGACGATGGAGAAGGAGGGGGTTAAGGGCAAAGGCACTGGTGGCGTGGACAAGGTGTACATGTTGCCGAAGAACGGGTTGTTTAGGTGGGTGCTGTATGCGCATTATCTGTGCGAGTGGGTTGAGTGGTGCGGGTTTTGGATGGTCGGCGGCTGGGGCTGCACGCCGGCGAGGAGCTTCGTGCTGAATGAGATCGCGACGATGCTGCCGCGGGCGGTGCAGGGGAAGAGATGGTACATTGAGAGGTTTGGGGCGGACAAGGTGGGGAATAGGAAGGCGGCGATTCCGGGAATCCTGTAGGTAATGTGGGAGGCGTTTTGTAATGCGCGGTAGGTTTGAATGGAGTTTATGAGAAACATAAAACAATGGGCGACTTTGGTAAGATATAGAACATTAATATATAAATTCCAATCTATACAAAGTCTATGCGCAAGAAACAAAAGGACATGATCTCATATACTCCGTCATCTTCTTTGCGCAAATGACAACAACCCCCTACCTAGGAAAGCATGCACTCCTCCAGCGAAGAACAAGGGTATCATCAACAACAACCAACCTCGCTCTTCCCCCTTCTCACTCCGAACCCGGCCCTTCAACCCCAAGCCGATAAGAAGCATAGGTCACTTCCCGAGCGTCCTCCTCATTCCCCCAACAACACCCCACCAACATTTTATTTCTCCCCACCGCCACCACCACCCCTCCTCACCCTCTCCCACGCGCCCGCCACCGCCTCCTCGACCCCCCTCCCCACCTCCCTCCAATCCGTCTCCTGCACGCGCCTCACCGCGCGCTCGACCTCGCGGTTCCAGCGGTCCTTGGCGAGGTCCTCGACGCCGGCCGTGCGCTCGCGCATCGACGGCGGCGTGTACAGGCGGTCCGGGTCGTACACCTGCTTGAGCAGGTGCGCCGACTGCCGCAGCGAGAGCGACTGCTGCAGGCGGTTGCGCTGGTGGACGAGCGCCGAGAGGTAGAGCGCCGAGGAGGTGAGGGTGAGGCCGCCGATCTGTTTTTTTGGGTTGCGGGGGGAGGCCGGGGGTTAGCTGGGGGGTGTGGTGGTTGGTGGGGAGACCGAGAGAGAGGGGCTGCTGCTGGGTACGGGAGAGAGTCTGGGGGAAGAGGGAGATGAAGGGGGGAGGAAAGGGGGAAGGGGGGCGCGTACGAAGCCGGCTGTGAAGCCCATGATGAGCGGTCGTTAAGAGGATTGATTTCGTTTGGCGTGGAGCAGGAGAGCTAGGTATGAGCTCTTGTTCGCGTCGCAGGGATGAGGCGAGCTGCGCGGCGCGGGTTGCGTGCTGTCCAGGTGCTTGTCTACGCGGGCGAAAGAAGCGAGCGGTTCGTGTCGAGCTCCCGGGTAAGCTGACGTAGATAGAGGTCGTTCACGGAGCAGGCAGTGCAGTGAGAGCGAGTGCAAGCAAGATGCTGCGGGATTGATTGGGAGCTCCGAGCACGGCGGCGATAGAGAGATTATCAGCGGAGCGGGAAGCACGAGCTTCTTCGTCGCCGTCTTGGCGTGAATTTCTCCGGCCGACGAACCACCACCTGCACCTCCGGACCACGGTAGACCACCTTCTGCACCCGCCAACCATTGCGCTTCTCCCACCGCCGCTCGCTCAATTGCGCCCGTAAGCCGGGCTGCTGCTGCTCGCCGTCAGAGACACCCTACCGGCCCGGAGCGAATCTCTCGAAGCCCGCCTCGTCACGAAAACCTCAATTGGACCACCTCCGCGGCACGCCCGCCTTCTCGATAACCCCGCACACCGCCTTACTTCCACATCGTCGCAATGGCAGGCGGAGCTGCCAAGTATAGACACCTGTCTCGGAAGAGCTCGCATAGGCAAGCCCTGCTCCGCAACCTGGTGACTTCGTTATTCGAGCACGAGAGCATCCAGACGACATGGCACAAGGCGAAGGAGGCGCAAAGATTGGCGGACAAGCTCATTACCCTGGGCAAGAAGAACACTGAGAACAGCAGGAGAAAAGCATGGGAGGTCTTCTACGTACGTTGAACCCCGCGCGCGCCCCACGTCTTGCCAGACTCGCAACATGTTAGAGAGTCGTGGCGTGTTTGCTGCCAAATGTGCCCCTTCCCAGACAAAACATGGCTGATGGGTTCCGCGTGATCCTTTCCTCATTCCAGCGCCCCGTCGAGCTCGTTCCCAAGCTGTTCGGCCCCCTGCGCGAGCGCTACGCCACGCGGCCCGGCGGCTACACGCGCGTGGTGCGCATCGAGCCGCTCAAGGAAGACCAGGCGGCGTCGGCCATCCTTGAGCTCGTCGACTCCCCCAAGGACATCCGCTTCGCCATGATGGCCAAGGTCGTCGCCCGCCAGCGCGCCGAGAACCTGCGCGAGACCCCCATCACCCGCGCCAACCTGAAGAAGGTCCTGCAGTTCCGCGGCGACAAGGGCAAGGAGGAGATGGAGGAGATGATCGACCGCTTCGACAGGCTGACGGCCGAGGGCAAGGAGGTCAAGACGGTCTACCAGAAGCCCGTCTACCCCGACCCGTTGCATCCGACCAAGGGCAAGAAGGGATCGGTGTACAAGTACTAAGCTGGTTTCGATGCTGCGGTCTGCGTGTGAATGGCTTTTTTGAGGGAACAGAACGCGGAGAAGATTTGGTTGGACAGCTTTTATAAACAAAAGGAGCGGGGGCCATGTGTACATGTATTAACAGCAGATCGATCGCGATTCTAGGCGGTTTTGCCGCGCTTTCTGTTCATTTACAGCAGTGATCTTGGCCGAGGCGGTTCAACGGAGGGATCTCCAAAGCCAACACTTCCCACGCAAAAGAGCAACTCTGCTTCCCTGATGAAAACGTCTGGCGGAGAGCTTTTAATGAAACTGAATGCAACTAGAGTGAGCGCCATCTCGCGTCGATATGTTTATGCAACCAACACATCTGTCCAGCATCGAGTGGCAGAACATTTTACAGTTCGTTTTTCTGTAGAAGGTTATCCGCCTTGCAGGGGCAGTTGAGGCAAACATCGAGATGCAGATATCTTCCATGAGATTACTCGAAAAATAATTAATAATCTAGGCGCCTCACCAATGACACGTAAATATGGCACTACAGTTGGCTCCATAACGACGCTTGAACCACCCACCAAATGCTGCGTCCGACTGCAGCAGTTCCAAGCGAACCAATTCACTGACCAAGCAACGCAATCATCATTACCAGCCTTCAGTGAACAATATCAAAAAATTAAAGCACTCTTTTTCGCTAATGACACATGAGTATTTGTTACGTCAACACACCCTTCCACACCATAACCTGACCCATCTCTCGGGACTCCTCTAGCGTAGACAGCATTGATCCGAGAAGCTTCCCGGGTGCACTCTTCCATCTCCTCGGGGAATCTTGCATCATCCAATGACATGACCTCTCATTTTGGGTCGTCACACCTTGCGTGAGAAATGACGACCTTCGACTCTACATCACCTTGAGTACATTTAACCGGTACCGGAAACAGCCAGTCTAGGATATCATGTTAGTCTATATTGCAACTTCAACCAGAACAAGTGGTGAAACTTACTTCATCAAGTGGTCCATGAACGTCTGCAGCGAGACATCGTCGGTGAAAATGGTCTGCGCTGTCTGCGCAACGCCGCCGTACGAACCAGTGGTGTGGGTTGTGCTGGGGTTGAGCTTGGACAGTAGGAAACGAGCCTGCGAACCGCCAGCATCGCAGACGATGAAACGAGGCAGCGGGAAGCGGTCTTGAATAAGCTCCTTGGCGTCCTCCTTGGGTGCCTCAAGCAGGACTCGGAAGTTCTCGTAGCCTTCCTGGTCCTGGTAACCGGCCTTTCTCCACTCAGCCATGGTCTCTCCGTGGAAGATGAGAATATGGAAGAAGGTGTCGAGAAGCAGAATAGTCTCGGGCTGGATAGACGCAGAATCGAGGAGAACCGGCTGGCCACCTTCGTGATCGAAACCGTAGGAGTCGAGCGTAGGCTGAATCATAATGAGCGAGTTGCTGACATCCTCGTGGTTCAAGACATGACGGTAGAAAGCGGTTTCATCGGGAGAGTTGTTGAAAACCTGCAGGAACTGACTGCGGCGAAGGTGGAACATGAACTGGGGGTATAAGGTGAAGTTCTTCTCGAGCCTGAAGGAAGAGGGGTCGTCCTTGCGGTACTCAGCAAAGCGGGAGCAGAGTCTGATGAGCATGCGGTCAACCCAGCGGAGAACGTCCGGTCCATCATCAACCTCAGCCTTGAAGACGGCTATCCTGGACATAAGGACAGCAGCAGCTTCCTGGTCGAAAGACGCAGCAATCGCAGGGTCCCCAGATGGTCCGCTCAGATTGCGGGCAACCGTGGTGACTCTGAGGTGGTACTGACCAGACGAGTGCTGGTAGTAAGTCAAGAACTGCATCATGCCCTTCTGCGGACCCTGCTGCATCTGGCTAGGGCCGCCCTGGCTAGCGATCTCGAAGTAAATGCCGTAACTCGAGCCAGGATCGATACCACACATCTTCCACGAGCACGTGTTACCGATACCACACTCGGTCTCACCCACGGAGGCAGACTTCTTGTTCAAGGACACGGCGTGGCCAATCAGACCGGTGACCTTGAGTTCCTTGGTGGTGAGCACCTCAAGCGAGGCATTGAAGCCCATCAGAAGATTGTCGTCGCCATCCTTGTCGAAAACGCGCGCAAACGACTGCTTGAACATCGAGGAGGTAAAGCTGTCGGTCAAAATCATGTGGCCACCAGTGGAGTTCGACAAGCCCTTCATTTCGAGCATGCCAACTTGGTCCAGGCAGCCTGCGAAGATATCGATAATGTGACCATTGTGGGCAGTTCTCTTTGCAAGGGCATCGTAGAACTATTGAAAGAATTAGTTACCGATACTTGCCGTGAACGCAGTGCCTAATCTTACCTTCAGCGCCTTCTTGTAGTACTTGATGTTGTCGCGGTCAATATCGTGGTGAGAACGGATAGGTTCCCTCAGCTCCGGACCAACGACCATACCGGGACCCTCAGTGCAAGCGCCGCCAGTGAAGAGCATGATCCTACCACCGGAGTTCTGGAAAGAGGTCTCCAAAAGGCCGGTAGCAACACTCAGAGCGACACCAGTGCAGCGCAGCGCACGCTTGTCGTTCGCAACAGGCCAAGGATCCTTCTGAAGCTGCTCAAGGGCGTTCGTCAACTGGAACTCGCACTGCTGGACGGGGAGCAGGAAGCGAGCGGCAGGACCCATTGGCGGAGGAGCGCGGCCGGGCTGGGGCTGCATTCCCGGCCTCAGACCAGCCGCCATCAGGCCAAGCATCTCCTGGACCTGCTTTGCGGCATAGTCCTTGCTACCACGGAAGACGTACGACTTGGCGCACTCGGTGTAGCCAAGCTCGTGGACCTGAGTAGTGGTACCGTACGTGATCAAGCCAACCAGAGCCCACGGCGGCAGCAAGCTCAAGCTCATGATGATGGAATCCTTCAATGCCTTCAGGCTGTCCTCCTCCTGGCAGGTGTCCACGACAAAAACGAAGATGGGCGGCGACGGCGCAGGGCGGGCGAGACGGTATTCGATAGTAGTGTTCTGGGGGTGGAGCTCCGGCGGGATGGCCTGGTCGGAGATGTCCTTGTAGTGGGGGGGAAGGCCATTGCGCTGGAGACAGAAGGGGCATATCCATATCCTGGCGCGCATGTCGACCTGGCTGTGGCGGCGTCAGCGGACGGGCCCCCAGATGCGGCCAGTTAGTACGCACCAGAAAGGGTTGAGGACAGCACGACACGGAGCCTTGCAGGAAACGGGCTCATATTGGAGCAGCGGCGTGTCGGGCTTCTCTTTCAGCGGGGTGTAGAGAGCTCCGATAGGCACTGTCGGGGGTCAGCAATGGGGTCGGGCAGCGAGCAGCGGCCAACTTACCAACGAGCCGCGAAGCTTCCTGCGAGAAGGTCAGTAGAGCGCGGAGCGGGCGAAGGGAGCAGACGCACCATGCGCGAGCTGGGGAAGGTGTTCCAGCTGAGCCTAACGCCATCCTGGTCCTCGATGTCGCTCCATTGCTCCTTTAGCGCCTCGTAGTCCATTGCGGCAGCTGGACAGGGTTGGCGGGGTGTGTGTTTTGCGGTCGAGTGGAAGGCGCAGGGCGGGTGCAGGGCGGGTTGAACGATGCTCGAGCGCGCGGCGGCGGAGCTCTGGGAGAGTGGGCCGTCGCTTTTGAGGGTGCGACTGCAAGGGCAGGCTGGCGGGTGGACAGATGTGCAATGGGTGGAAGCGGCCACATTGAGGTTGTAGGCGGTGATCCCGAAGCGGCCTAGCCGGCCAATCGGCGCGGTGGGTCGCCGTGGCTCCGCGACCGGGGTCGAGGTACAAAACCGCGGGCGCCGCGCAAATCTCTTCTCTTCATCAACTACGCCGGCAACAAATCACATTACTATCGACAGCTTCTCCCTTCAGTGGAGATTCTGTTTTCGCGCCGCGCGGAGACCGACTACCCATGGCTGGGCGCCTGACTTCGATAAGTCGTTTCGACTTGTAGGAGATGTTAGGAATCAGCAGAGGTTACATATCGTGAACCGCCGTTCGAGCGCACTGGCTGCCCCAATTGCAGGCTCGGCTCCCAGTGTACCATATGAAGGATTAGTGGCGCTGTCGCAATTGCTGAGACGGGTGCTGTAAACACGGTGGCGCTAGACGATTTGTTGGGCGTCCACGACGCTACCTCGCCCTTGCACTGCCGGGTTGAGATGGCCTGTATATTGCTTAGGCATTCGTGAAACAGTCACTAGATGTTTGCAGTGATCTCCAAATCGTGGTGGTGGTTGGGTGGTCTACGAACAATCAAATCCAGCTTCAGACATGCGTGGGCATCCCGGAGCCATTGTAGGGGATTTTGAATTCTTCAAAGTCGCGCTTGTAGTTACATCTTGCGCAGCTGAAGTAGCCATTTTGTCTTTATGTGGTTCTCATGGACGACCTCATAGCCGGTGATGAAAAAATTGACCCCCCTACATGTGTAGCAGAATCCTATCTGGATATATTCTTAATAGTCGCGCCCACATCCGGATATCTGCTTCAGCTACTTATGCAGAAAGGTCGTTTGAACTTGTGTCTACATTTGCATACTTGCTTCAAAACTACACATAGATAAATGCTCCCCTCAGGTCAATTTCTTTCGTCACTCACTGTGACCTCAAGTCGAATAAATGAGCCGGGGTGCGATGGGCGTCATCAACGAACAACCACGTCGCGTAGCCGACATGGTGGATGCAAAGGAGACTGGCTCACCTAAATCTATCTTAAATATGTAGTAAACCCCGATCACTGGATGCAATTGTACGTTTTCAGTTACTCACATCTATGTCTGGATATCTGCTTCACCTACCCTGCCTCAGACTAAATCTACGTCGGGACATCTGCTTCAACTACCTACGCAAAGCATCGCAGTAGGCCAATTTCTTTCGCTGAATATCATCTCGAAGCCTCAAGTATGCTGTCGCTGTTGCTTTGCGCACCTTTGGTGTGGTGTTGGTGCGGATCTGTTAAATCTTCCTACGCTCCTCACTTCAGGTGTTCTCTGTACACCACCACACTACTTGCTAGGTCCAAAATCTTGATTCGAATCGATCGCCAGGTTACTTGGCCCTTCTGCCTGGCGTTTCATGTGTTTCAGAGTCCGTATTGTAAGTCCTGCTTCACATGCCGCGCCGCAGAAACTGACCGTTCGCAGTACCTGCCGACGGCCTCACTTTCCTCCAAATTACCACTTTTGGCTTAGCCTACCCCTGCCGGCCAACCCAAACGTTTCAGATCAGACCAACTACTCACATTTTCCTATTGTTCGGTGAAGATACCATTGGGCAAAATGGAGCACGCGGGAGTCTTCTGCTCCTATTGTGCAGGTACCGCATATCTTCTCTTCGATTTTCGCCTTGAGGCTCTCTTTTCCCTCTTCTTCAGCCCCACCGTTTTCGAACCACTGTGATCCTCAGCGACTTTTGACAAGCCTTGCCGACCTCTGCTTCACAGCCTCTCTCAGCTTCAAGCTCCATCCGGTACCTTCGTCTGGTTACGATTGAACCACTCACCATCAGCTTCAAGCTCCCATCTGATTCATTCGTCTGGTTGCGAAAGAATCATTCACATTCGACTTCAAGCTCCATCAGTAGCTCCCATTTCCCATCCGGTTCCTTCGTCTGGTTACGATTGGACCATCTGCTTCAGCTTCCATCTCTCATCCGGTTCCTTCGTCTGGTTACGGTTGGACCATCCGCCTTCAGCTTCCATTTCCCATCGGGTTCCTTCGTCTGGCTACGATTGGATCATCTGCTTCAGCTTCCATCTCTCATCCGGTTCCTTCGTCTGGTTACGATTGGATCATCCGCCTTCAGTCCCAAGCTCCACCAAAGGCCCTCTCATCTCGAAGCTCCACCAGCAGCTCTCATCTCGAAGCTCCACCAGCAGCTCTCATCTCGAAGCTCCATCAGCAGCTCTCACCCAGAAGCTCCATCAGCAGCTCTCACCCAGAAGCTCCATCAGTAGCTCTCACCCAGAAGCTCCATCAGCAGCTCACATCTCCAAGCTCCACCCAGCAACCCGCATTTCCCAGCTCTTTTTCCTCCCACCATCCAATCACAACATCTTTCCACCCGAACCATCACCATGTCTCCTCCTAGACCGTACTTCCCCGATGACCCCCTCTTCCCCTCGGACGGCGTCTTCCACCCGGAAGGCTCCGTCCCCCTCTACGAGTGGGAAGTCGCGCACAAGATCCGCGACCCGCCGGGCGCCAAAGCCATCGAGGACATGACGGAAGAAGAACAAATCCAACACGCCATCAACCTCTCCCTAGCGGAAGAAGGAGAAGAGGACCGCGAGCTCCCCGGCCCTCCGACTCCCCGCCTCCGCCCCAGCTCCAGCTCCAGCTCCAGCCCCAGCCCCATCCCCAGCCCCGGGCCCTTCGCCACCACCGCCCTCGCCGCCGCCGACGCCCTCGCCGCCGCCGCCAACGACGACGACGACAACGACGACGACAACGACGACGCCACGATCCCCGTCGTGGAGGACAGCCAGTTCCTCCCGATCCACCAGCTGTTCGGCGCCGTCCACCACCAGGGCGGCGCCGCGCTGTCCATCGACAGCGCCTTCGACGCCTTCGTCGGCTTCCTGGCCTGGGCCTACCCCGGCGCGCAGTTCGACGACTTCGCCGCCCGCCGCCTGCTGTCCGCCGAGCAGCAGCAGCAGCGAGCCGCCGAGAGGGAGGCCTGGGCCAGGTCGCAGAGGGAGGCGGAGGAGGAGAAGGCGGGAGAGGAGGAGGAGGAGGAAGAGGAGTGGAGGGGAGACGTCTCCGTCTCCGTCTCCGCCTTCCCGAACGACAACCCTGCGGGACAGCAGCAGTCTCTTGCTGCGGTCCTCGGCTCCGGTGGGCAGCAGCCGCCCGTCCCCTTCGTGTCGCTGGGAGACGTCGAGGGTCCGGCAGGGGGGGCGCTGGCGCCTTCTTTGTCGGAGCTGGAGTCTGAGGGCGGGCAGGAGCCCGTGGGTGTTGTTGGGGAGGGAGGCGAGACGGAGACGGAGGAAGAGGAAGAGGAGGACGAGGACGAGGAGGAGAAGGATGAGGAGGAGGATGACGACGACGACGACGATGACGACGATGACGACGATGACGACGAAGACGATGATGATGAGGAGGGGGATGGTGCGGCCTTGCCCGCCAACCAGGGTCCGGCGGTTACGGCCGCCAACACCACCACTCCCGTCTTTGCTGGCGCTGCCGTGCGCCCGCCCATCAGAAGGTGCGCGTGGATCCACGAGGAGATCCAGGCCGCCGGCAGGGCCATGGAGTGGGTGTTGTCGGTCGACCCCGGCACGTGGACCGTCGACGACCGCTACGACAGGTGCGCGGAGCGCATGGAGGCGGAGTCGGGGTTCCGCCGGACCCAGCGGGCGGTCCGCTCGGCGTACAACCGCCTGGTTCGCAACCAGACGGGCGTCGACGAGCGGAAGACGCCCAAGCCGCACCGGCTGCAGACGTCGGTGCAGAAGACCGGGGCGCGTTCTGCCGCCGTCTGGAAGTCTGCAGCCGCTGCGGCTGAGGCGGGCAAGGCCGCTGACAAGGCCTTGAAGGAGGAGAGGAAGAGGAAGAGGGAAGAGGAGAAGGAGGAGAGGAGGGAGGAGAGGGAGGCGAAGAGGAGGAGGAAAGGGGAGGAAGAGGAGGACAAGGGGAAGGGGAAGCGTCGCCGGGTGGAGGAGGACGAGGAGGACGAGGTCGTTGCGGAGGCCCCTCGTCGCATCAAGAGGGTGCGCTTCGCACCTCGTCCCTCCGAGTCACCGAAGCCCGGTGACGAGGAAGAGGAGGAAGCGGTGGAGGTGCCGGCCGCGGCGGGTGCGGCTGGTGAGGGTTCTGCTTCCGCAGGGCCCAATATCCAGGCTGCCCTGGTGGCCGCGGACGAGGCTCTGGCGCGCCGCCTCCAAGAGGAGGAGGGCGTCGGCAGCCGTTCGCGCCGCACTCGTCGCGGTTAGGCGGTGATTGAGGTGGCGGTGGTGGTCGTGGTGGAGGTGGTAATGGTGGTAATGATGGGGATTCCAGTTCTGGCGGTGGAGTTGGGGTTTGGGATGGGGGGATGCGTGGTCGGTGGTGCCCGGTGCTCTGGTCTGCTATTTTTTGTTTTGTTTTTCGACGGCTGGCGGCGGTCAGGCTCTGGGCTTCGGGCCCTTCAGTTTTGTTTTTGTTTGCTTTTGCTTTTGAGAGCCCGGCTGCTGGCAGCGCGGTGCTGGATTCCAGTGTAGTTTCAACGTCGTCTGCTGCCCCTGCTTCTTCGTCACGGAAGCACAGGCAGCATTGTTTCCAGCCGTATTTGGCTCTACGTGATCGTATCCCCTGTTTTGGGGCCTGCTTGCGTTCGTAATATCAAACGAAGCATTGACCGATCGGGAAATTCCCGTTAGCCTTGTCGACACGTCGACACTCAACAGGATGGCGGCACAATAGATCACTCAGCCGTTGTTGGGAAGTGAACTCGCGGCTGTATTAGATATATTTGGACCAAACGAGCCGAGTTTGACAGTTGCATTTGAGTGTAAGCAAGCAGAGATGCGGAAATTGCCAGAGGGATGATTGTCCCGGACGGGGAAATCGCATCCCCACAATGGTTGCGTGCAAGGCATACTTCAGTTTGAGGATTAGGAGCGTTCAGCCGAACAACAATGCTTGGATTCGCCATCACCTTCCATTTGGCTGGCAGGTGCGGTTACGACTGCCGCGAAATGTAGGAAGCAGTGTTCCAGAGCGCCAAATGGCCATAACAAATGGCATGTTTTTCTGGCAATCCACGGGCCGATCAAGCCACAGGAAAACACGGAGAGCAATCTGGGACTCGAGATGTTGGAGGAGCGGGCAAAACTTGCTTGGTTTCGCGTGGAGTTGTGGTGCGGACTGGCAGATCGGAGGCAGCGCAGCAGGTGGAGGCGCGCATAAGGCAGATATGATTTCAGGGCATGCACATCAGGACGCAGGGAGCAGGAGTGTTGCGAGCAGAAAGCAGGGCGGGGTGACCGGTGGCGTCGGAGAAGTGAGGTCGGCGAATCGGAGGCTGGCGCGGCTGATGGATGGCGCACCCCCGCTAACGCCGACTGTCCGTGCGCAGACCCGTGCCAAGAGCTGTCGAATGCTGCCGTCGCGCGCCTTCTATCCAAACGCGCTGTCCTCTTAAACGCCGCCCTCGCCCGTTCTCCTGCACGCTGGTTCCAGCCAGCACCCTCCCCACCATGGATGCCACCAACGTCCAGCCCACCGGCGCCTACGCCGCCGACATGGACATTGACATGGACATCGACCTCACCACCGCCGACGACATCGAAGCCTTCGACACCGAGGGCATTACCATTGTGCGCCTCTTCGAATCGCCGTAGCGTGCCCTTCTCGCTGACCCGCCCCCGCAGGATGATATCAACGCCCCGGCCACGGCAGGGGGCCCACCAAATGCCCCCGCCATCGAGCCTCAGCTGGAGAAAGTCAACGTCGAGGGCGTCGACAACCTCACCACCGCCCAGGTCAAGGCCTTTGCACTTGACCATTTCCCTACCGACCAGTATGTCCGCCTCGAGTGGATCGACGACTCCCACGCAAACATTGTCTACGAGACCGGAAACGCCGCCCTTGAGGCCCTTGTCGGCCTCACCGACCCCAACAAATGCGATCCTGCCACAGCTGCCGATACGCTGGAACACGCCCTCCAGCAGCGCGACGCGAAGCCCTTCTTTGAGAATCCTGAAGTGCAGCTGAAGATCAGACTGGCCGTCACTACTGATGTCAAGGCTGCGCGCGCGCACGAAGCCAGCCGCTTCTACCTCATGAACCCTGACAAAGACCCTCGGGAGAGAAGGAGAAGGCAACAGGGCGACCGTCGCAATGGAGGCGCCAACGAATACAACAGGAGGCGTTACGACGACCGCGAGCAGCGGCGGAGGAAGGACAATACCGAGTACGACATGGACATGTACGATGAAGAAGGCCCGTCTAGGGCTCGGAATGACAGCAGGCGCGGTAGACGTGGTTCGCTGTCGGACGAGTCGATAGATGATCGTAGGAGGAGCAGGAGGAGAGAGGCACGGAGCAAGAATCTGGACGACCTACTTCCGTCCAAGGCCGACGGACGCCTGCGCGACCGCAGCGCATCCCCACTCCGCGATGGTGATGGCCGTTACGGTTTCGGTGACGATGACAGCGCCGCACACCGCCGCGCCCGCAGGAGAAGCTACTCCCCTCCGTCAAACCGCGGCCCTCCCGGCGGCAAAGAACTCTTCCCGGGCCGTGGCGGTGCGACCAAGGAGCTCTTCCCTACCTCAACATCCAGGGCTACCCTTCTTTCCTCTACCGCCTCCAGCCCCAACCCCTCAACCGGCAATGCAAAGGAGCTGTTTCCCGGTAAAGGCGGACACACCCCCGGCAAGCGCTCTCGTGAGCTGTTCCCACATAAGACAGCTCACAGCAACCACCGCCGCCAGGATGCCTATGATTCAAGAGACCTATCTGATGCAAGTTTCCCGAATTCACGTAGTCTGGAGGAGCGTATCACTGGAGGGCATAACGGCAACGGCCGCCTTAATGGTGAGGACCAGGGATTCAGCGTCAGGGGTTCGGCAGATGCATCCGGATTTTCCATCCGGGGAGCTGCAGACGTGAGAGAGCTGTTCCCTATGAAGACTGGCGCCGGATCAAACGCTGGAAAGGAATTGTTTGAGGAGAAGATCCAGGGTCGTGGTGGGCCCAGAAGGAAGGCGGAGGATATGTACTTCTGAGCTCTCAGCGCAGCGACGTTGGAGAACTCCTAGGGGACCTTGACCATCTATGAGGGCTTCTTTGTGCCCGTTTTTTTGGGCTTCTTCCGTGTTGTTTTCTCAACTCTCTTTGATAATGGACATGCACACGACACGAGGCTGGACATTGGCATTTACATGGCTGGTTGGCTTGTTTTCTTCAACAAACTCACGTTATTGACGCAAGGCGCTCAGGATGTTTGCTGTATTTTTCACGTCTGGGTTCTTCGGGATACCACATCTCTTTTGATCTGTTCGTAGGAATTCGACACGATACGACCAAGGTATCAAATATTGTGATTCACTGTTTATGAAAGCGATCGCGAGACAAGCTGTTTGATAGGATCAGTGACTTAAATGTGAAAGAGTTATGGTTCACGTCGGCATCAGTATTTGGTCTTCCTCGAATGCGACTGAAGTCACTGCTTCAGTTCAAGCTATTCACTGATAATTTGCTCGCTATTCCCCAAGCGCTCAAGTTCTCTTCTATTCATGGTACTTCTGCCATGTCTCCATCCAGGCAACCGTACCACCTTTCTCGCCTCAAGCTTCCTTGATGCGCCCGTCCTTGACCATCTCCCTGATGGCCTGGATGCTCGACTCGACGGCTGTCTGCGCACCGGCGCGGTGCTTCTTCCGCAGCTCCGCGACGGCCGCCGAGTCGCTCGCGTTGACCTCCGGGTATCGCCACGCGAAGCTGTACGTCATGTTCAGCGCGTCGTCCTTGTCGAAGCTGACGATGTTGCTGACTGTGGTGCCGTCGGGTTGGTGGAAGTCGACCTGATAGCGGTGGTTAGTTAGCGTAAACAACGCGGTCTTCGTCAGTTGTAATAATTTGCAGTCTTTCTTTTTCTTTCGCCTCCTGGTTTCCCGTCATAGTGGGTTACCAAAGAACGGTGATCCTCCATGTGGGCAGTTGAAGCAGATATGATAGTGTAGGTGAAGGTGAAGGTTCAGACGACCTTTCTTCATGGGTAGCTGAAGCAGATATCCGGATGCAGATGTGAGTAATAAAACTGCACACGTATCCAGATATCTGCCGTTCCCTCATATCCACTCCACGTGCTCAAAGACTCCCCATTAGATAGGTAGAGGATGAAAACACACATAGCAAAAGAAACCCCAAAAAAAAAATGGAGGGGGCAACAACATACCCTCGACGGCTCATAGCACTTGCACACCTCCTTCACCTTCAGGCTCCCCTCCCGAAACCCTTCCTTGAACGTCGCCTCGCGCACGACGACGGGCACGGTCTCGTCGCCGCTCCCTTCGGTCGTCTCCTCCAGCACGTCCGTCGCGACGATGACGGGCACGAATTCCTGCGCGAACCGGATCTTGCGCTCGAGCCCGGCCCAGACTTGGGCGAGGGAGAGCGCGGGCGTCGCGCCGGGAGGGTTGATCGGGGAGGTGAAGGCGACGTTGACGATTACCATCTTGGCGTTGCTTACTGCAAGGGGGAGAGGTACGGGGGGTTTCTGCTGTGTCTGTTGTGGATCGCGGTTTTTTGGTTGAGAGGTTGGGGCGGAATGCGGAGGGGTTTGATAGTTGCTGGTTTGCGATGTGGTAGTCGGAGTAGCTTGTTTATGGGAGGGTAGTAGTAGTAGTGCTGAAAATTGGCTAGCTATATATCATTATTGATGAAGGCGTCGTCGGCATCGGTGTCAGCGGAAAGCGGGGTCAGTCCGAAGCGCGAGAGAAGGAGAGCGCATTGGGGGCTGCGGCTGACAGATGTATCGGAGTTGGTGACGTCAGCGGGCATGCAGACAGCGCAGTTGTAGGAATGCCCGAAGATGCGAAGAGCGAAGGTGTTGATACGCATTGCCAGCTGTATCAGCAGACCAGGCCTAGGCGCTCGTACGAGCGGCAGTGTTCTGTGGAGCTGTTCTTGCATAACTGATTAAAAGTGCTGGCCGAAGGGCGTTGGCGTAAGCGCCAATGCAACTTTAATCCCTGCGTCAAACCCGGCGTGCGGCGCACTGCACCACGGGGTACTTGTAACACTTGTGTGTATTCTGATCCTGTAATACGGACATTACCCTCGAATGGTGGCCTGCTTTGGCGTGCCAAGACTATGTTAGACCGTGTTTGATAGACAGCGCCGCACTCTTTCAATCCGCATATCTCATACATTTCTCGTAATTATGTACAGCATCTACACCTCTAAATCCAAATATTGACGTCAGAAGATACCTGCAGTCTCTAGATCCAAATACTAACTACAGGAGATACCTATAGTCAGGGCTCAAGTCCCCCATCTCAGTCTTCTCATACTCCGTAAGTCCAAGGTCCGTCGGTGTCTTGTCTCTCCTCTTGTTCGACCAAGAGCAGAGAACCCAGTAGACGACGCAGCTCAGCGCGCTCAGGCAGATGAACGCTATACAGATGCTATAGCCAGGAGTGTAACGAGGCGCGTCTCGCGACAAAAAAGCGAAGACGGCTATGACGCCTCCGATGTTACCAAACCCAACCTGCCATGCCGAACCAACGGAACGGCGGTGGTGGCCTCCTAGATTCATGTTGTACCAGCAGACAATCACGGGCATTGCCGAGTAGCAGCCCATGGCGATAAGGAAGAGGCCAGCGTACTGCACGTTCAGGTTGTCGTGTACCGAGATCATGATCCCGAAACCAGCTATCGCAACGGCGATTGGGATGAGGGTGAAGAGGAAGCGGTGGCGGAATTTGTCCGAAAGCCAGGCAATTATCATGGCAAACCCGAATGCCGCTGCCCACGGTGGTACGCTGTGCAGCTGCGTCTGGATTGCCGAGTAGCCATACGTCTTGAGGATAGCTGGAGAGAAGTATGCATAGCCGTACGCAGGGACGATCAGGCCGAAGTACATGAATCCGCCGACCCAAAGCTTAGGATCCTTAAAGACACGGCCGACGTCTTGGATGGTTATCTGGCGTTCGGCAGCCGAACGGCCCTGGTCAGCCTGCAGGCGGGCTTTCACGTATTTCTTCTCATCCTCACTGAGCCACTTCGCGTCCTCCGGGAAGTTGGGCAAGAGGAAGAAGAAGATTAAAGAAACCACGACTGTGAGAAGACCCTCAAGGATGAAGATCCTACATTGATCGTAAGCCTTTGCTAGGGTTGTAAATGAGGGAGAAAAAAAACTCACCATCTCCACCCTCGATATCCCCGAATCCCATCCATCTTTCCGATTGCAGACGCGAGGAGACCACCGAAAGCTCCGGCAAGGGTCGTGCTGCTAAAGAAGAAGCTGTAGCGACGCTGAGCTTCATGACGTCGATACCACATTCCTATCAAATAGAAACAACCGGGAAACATGCCGCTCTCGAACAGGCCGAGGAAGAATCCTGTTGCTGAGTTAGACCTGGATTGAAAAGCGGATGGTACCGGAACTCCTTCCATCGCGAAAGCCCCTCGAAACCACGACCACACAAGTAGTATGTAGAATACTATTACAGCAGTGAAAATACCAGGGGGTATATGGTCTTTTTCACTATTGTAGTAAATGGTGGTTGGTTCCGGTAGGCTAACTCGATTTTGGGTATGCGGAGTTTTGTCAGCCGCATCCATTTGAGGCTAGTGCTTACTTGTTGCCAGCAATCCGGAATAGTTCTGGACCAACCCTTGCATGGTTGTAGTAAGTCCAAAGAAGAACATACAGCCAGACACTGGTCTAGAAGTTAGCTTGCGGGGTTTCCGGGTCAAGCTGGGGTATACGAACACCACACTCTCGGCGAGACCTTCTTCATGAGGACGTTAGATGGAATCTCGGCGAGTATGTACGGGACGAAAAAGATGACCAAACTAGCACAAGTCAGCAAAGGCCAGAAGCATGACTTCTGTGCTGATTGCGAGACTCACGCGGTATTGTACTTCATGCTGTCTTTAGAAGCGATGTCCAAATCCTCGCTCAGCCCGAAGACGTTGGCGTTGGCGATGTTGACGCGGTCGAGAAAAGCCAGCAAGTACAGAACACACAGGTACGGGATCACGCGGAAGTCGATTCTGCTGACCAGGCGCCGCTCGGTGGTGTGCGGCGGGCACTCGACATGGAGGTCGGAGTCGTACTCAACGTCGACAGCCGGTTCCCGGGCACAGCCGCCGTCCTCGCTCGAGCTCCGGGGAGCGACGACGGCCTCTGCGCGGGGCGTCAGCACGCTGGCGGGGAGGCAAACAGCAGCAGGATGGAAGACTCACTCTCTGATCTCTCTGGCCGCGAAAACATTGCCAGTGTTACGCGAGCGAGCAGAGGCACGGGGTGCAGGGAAGGGGGAGGGAGCGGCTGGGCCGGCGCCGTCAGCTGCGTCGGGGACGATCCCTTATAAGCGGCGGGCCATGGGTGAGACCGCGGTGAGCAAGCGCACGAAGGCAATGAGTCTTAACGCCGGTATCGCAGCGGCAGCCCACATCGGCCGCGAGGAACACGGCTTCCCCGCGTTCCCGGGACGGTAATGCTGCCCCAAAGGGATTGCCGTGTATTTTATTGGTTACGGCGTGGGCGGCGTGTGGAGAGCGGCAGATCGCGCTAGGGCGCATGCAGCGCTAGGCGTGCATCACCGCCGGCCACGTCTTCCGGTCGAGTGCGGGCACCGCCCGGCGAGCCACCGACTGACCGAGCCCTACAGCCGCGGTCCGGTGCCAGCGCAATCTCCAGTGGCGGCCAGGCCCGCTATGCGTCAGCGCGCGGCCCGCTTGGCGAGAGGCGCCGGCCAAGCGCAGGGCTCACCAAGGACGGGCTCCAGGCCATGCGGCGACGCCGGGGCCTGCCCGGCGGTTTTGGCGCGGACTGTAGGCCGGCTGCCGATCCAACGACCACCTCAGGGCACCCTCGCTGACCTTCACCTTCACTCGCCCTCGCCGCCCGAGCCTTGAGCCCGCCATCCCGCCGCCCATCTCTCTCGCCGCCGCCCCGCCGCCTGCGCCAGCTGCTCCGTCCAGGCTGTGCCGCTCCTCGCCAGCCCATGCCGTCGCCCTGACACCGGCCTGAAGGCGCCGCAACCCGTTTTGCCTGCCATGCAGCCTTTTCACTGCACGGCTCCCGCCTACTCGAGACCGCAGAGCGAAGCCGCCGCCGCCGCCGCTTCCTCGCTGCCGCTCGCCTATCGCCCGCCCGCCGCCTCGAGGTCCGATGCCCGCCTGGCCGCCATTGCTCGCTGGAGCGCCCAGTGGCACAACGGACACCTCTTCCTCCGGGATCCCCTCCGCGGCTACATCGAGATATCGCCTCAGGTGATTCCCCCGCAGTCCTTCTTCAACGACTCCACCTACCACGACGAACGCTCCGATGTCTGGCTCTCGCAGATCGACCACGCCCAGTACCTGTATACCGTGCGTGAGGACCACGGCATCCTGGCCTTCAAGGTTCATCCCCAAGTTGCCCGTCCAACCCTCCCCGCTCCCGAGGCCGTTCTGGGCAAGCGCGCTCTGAGCAACGAGCTCAGCACACCGCCCCCGCCCCCGAAGAAGACACGAGCCACGGCGAAACATGCAGGGCCCACTAGAATACGGAAGGACCGCCGTGTTCAGACGCCCGTCTACGACGATGTTTGGAAAAGGATATTCGAGCTCAGCGATCCCGCCATGCTGTTCACCTATGAGCGAGTCAACAAGGCCTTTCGCGGCGCCCTTGCCACCTACAGTCATATCTGGAAGAACAGCATGGTCGACCACTTCGGAGACGGCCTTCCGGAAACCCCCAAGGATCTTCAGGATCGTCAGTATGCAGATCTGCTGTCCGGCCAAGGCTGCATGTCATGTAAAGAGCCGAAGGCACGCAAGACTTATTGGGCCTTTCTGCGTCGCTGGTGTACCAAGTGCTTCAGCGAAAAAGTAATCAAGGTTCGTCGTATTTTTTCCGCCAGCCACGTCGCCTCGGCCCCATGAAGCTAACAAGCGCTCAGCAAGAGGACTGCTTTGCCATCAATCGCAAATTCCCTGGTATTCTTGAGTGTATTCCTTGTGCAACTGTGGATTCTTGGAACCATTACTCATATGCCGGGTGGGGAGATGAAAACGGTCGTTCGACTGCATCGGGAAACCAACCCGTCTTTTTGAAGGATGATGTGAGCGCGGTCGCTGCCGCCTACGAGGAGTTCATGGGTACCTCGGAAGAAGGCGACGCGTCCGCCGAAGAAAAGGAGGAGAAACGGACGGAGTGGATCAAGGAGCGTAGGGAAAAAGCCAAGGAGGTCATGGACGAGCGCCTGGAGATCGACAAATTCGAAAAGAAGTGGATCGCTGCCAGAGCCCAGAAGAGCGTGGATCTCAAGAACATGCGCAGGGAATTCATCATCCGCAGGGCCAAAAATCTCGATCCCCCCATGTGCGAGGAGGTGCTCAAGCTCATCCCGGCATTTCAGGAAAACATCAAGATCAACAAGGAGTTCAAGACGGAAAAGTTCTGGAAGGTCCTTATGCCCAAGCTGGAGGAAGCTCGTCCCATGGCAGAGAGGCTTTACGCAATGGAGACTAGAGCCAACGAGGTCGGTTACTGGGATCTCTTGCCTAACTTACAGAACCAAACCAATCAAATGAGCACTTGTGCCCCCGGTGCTTACCACCAGCTCATGGCGTTGGTAGACGCTTCGTTGAAAAGGGTCCACAACTTGGGTGCTCACAGCAAAGTGCAAATTCCTCACCAAGAGTTTGCACTGCGTGTTCTGAACATGGTCCGCCGGTCTTGGCCCCTGCAACCTCTTGCTGCCCATTCGCAGATTCCGGATCGATCGCCTTTCATTGACTGCTATCCTCGAGATGGCCGATACGTCCTTACGATTGAGCATGCATGCAGGATATACGAACGAAAAGTCGTCCCTAACTTGGAAGGGCTTTATCCTGAATTCCGGCAACCGACCCGCAACGTCCAGAAGTTCAAGTGCCCAGGATGCAAACGGAATGACGTTAGCAAGCAACGCACATTCCGGCAGTTGATGAATCACATACGTGAAGATCACGCTGGGACAATTGGCGATTTCCAGGTCTTCCGACTTGCGGGATTCAGGACTGAGCCCTACTTCTGCGCGGTTCCCTGGCCCATGAATCTGCCGGCTCTCACGGACAAGCAGAAGTCTACTGGTACGTGGGATAAGGACTCTGAACCGGAATACGGTACAGTCGACACATCTGCAGAGCAACCTCAAGACATCCTACAGTCTGCATTCGCTCGAAAAGACGTGTGCCCTCCCGAATCGCTTCCGAACGCGACTTCCACAGGATCCGCAGATTTTGTCGGTAACGTTCGAGATGCTCTGCGTGTTCTCGAGGGTACGGGGCTGAGCGCGGCTATTCGTAGCAAAATCGTCATCGAGTACGCCGACCGCCAATGCAAAAAGGCGGAGGGCAAGGACGCTTCACTCGACTGGCATACTCTGCGTTTCGAGGTGGATGCGTTCCTGATGAGCAGCAACAACCACGACATCTTGGACAAAATGTGTTGTGGTGTCTGCCGGAAGGCCACAGATGGCAAGACACGTGGTGGCAAGAACTATGCAAGGATGTCCAGCTCCCGTGCTGAGCTGATACGGCACTTCGGCACACACCACCAATCGAACGTCCAGACCTGGCCAAAGGACATGTTTACGCTTCCCAGCGACGAAGACGTCACGCGGGCGTTGAGCGAGGCTTCTGTTGACGCCAACAGGGCTTTCCATACACTTTTCCCCGACTCTAAAGAACCGCCAAAGAGGGAGTTGGTTGGCATGGATATTTTGGCAACCGTCGCAAATCAACAACAAAGGTTCAACAGTCGTCCATCAAAAGTGACGATGGCTCAGTGGCGCCAACAACATCCTACGCAAGATCCGATGTCCGCTCAACACCTCCGGCCACCCATTCCTCAGCCTTTCAGCCTTCAGCAGCACCAACAACAGCCTCACCAGCATCAAAATCAACATCAGCACCAAAATTCGCAACAGCACCAACCACATCGACCGCATCAGCAACACCCACATCGGCACTCGCACCAGTCTTTGATGCCTCTACATCCTCAACAACTGAATCCGCATGATCGTCCGATACAATCCCAATTTCAACATCAGCAGGCACTGCACTTGTCCGGCCATTCTTCGCAGCAGCAGCAGCAGCAGCAGCAGCAACATCAGCAGCAACATCAGCAACAACAACAGCAGCAGCAGCAGCAACAACAGCAACAACAACAACAACAGCAGCAGCAGCAGCAGCAGCAGCAGCAGCAGCAGCAGCAGCAGCCACAACAACAACAACAACATCAACAACATCAACAACATCAACAGCAGCAACAGCAACAGCAAACGCAAACGCAAAGCCAGCATTCGTATGGCTATCAACCTATTCATCATTTACCTGCCTCACGGTATCGTCTCTATCAACCGTAATATCCTCGTATCTCTGCGGGGATCTGTTTTCCTCTATGCCTTGATGCCCAGGTGAGAGAGGAAACAACCTCCAGGAGCCGTACCGGCAACCTTCCACCTTTCATACATAAGACATATCTACCCTGTTGAAATCGACGACGCGAACGATCTCCAACATTGCGTGCGCAGCAATGACGGCGCAACTGGCTGAGCAACACGTAGCTTGGCGCCCTTTCCTCGTTTCTATTTCTCATCTCATACTAATTACCATTCGGTGTTGTGCTTCGGTCTCGGTTTATCCTCAGGCTACTTCTGCGCATAGCGTCTGGCGGACTCGGAGTGATTAAGTCGGTTTTCATTATCTGCATGAGACAACCCCGGGACAGTAGCATCACGAGTACCCACAGTTGTGGGTTAATTGTCTTTTGTCTGGGTTTTTTTTTTTTTTCGTTTTGCATTGCATGCGAACAGGGGCATTCTTGGGTTCAGCGACGGTCTCGTTCTAATGGTTTCCATTTTATGTTTTTCTTTCGGTCTGCTCACGGAATAATTTCCCAACGTATAACCAGAGCACGTAGGCCACCACGCAATGGTTTGTCTGTTATAGAAGGGCACGGATATGGAATGGGTGGGAATTCTGGCTTTCTCGGTCTGCAATGTGTGTAAATGGTTCAGGGAGATTGCACTGGCATGGCATATGAACGTTCCTACTAGACGTTGGTAGTTGCGAATGACAGAATGACTTTCTCCTCATGTTGTGCTCGTTCATTCATGATGCTTGCGATGCTTTCAAACCTACATCCAGACATGGGAGTTTTTTACCTACGTAAGGTAGGTTTAGGTGGGTCAATCCATTTTGCAAGACACCGTGCCAGTACGACTGCAGCGATGTCCGCTCAGGGGCGTTTGTTATCTGCGGTGAAAGAGTCACCGAGCGGGTTTCCTTTTCGGGTTAAGCTCGGAGGCGGATTCGAGACGTCACAAAATGTGCCACGACCCAGAGGCGCTTCATCTGCATCGACACGTTTTGCTTCCTTATGCTCCCACGCCGCGCGCTGAATCTTTTGACACGAGTCAACCGCAGACAACCTACTCACGTCGCTACTATCCCGAGACCAACCCGGAACTTCCATACACCAGAGCCATTTAAGGCCCCGAGGGCTGAACCGTACGCGACCATGTCGACCACCAGTAATAACGCTGCTGTTCCCGCTACGCAGAACGGCTCGCAGGAGCAACCAAAGAGGCTGAGATATATCGATGTCCGTTCACAACATCCTTGCATACGCATTTATTCCTGCCCGCCTTCGAATCATGCACATTCTACACCAACATGGCAGGAAAACTCCTCGCACGTGATTTGACTGACATTTTTGTTTATCCCTGACAGATTGGCATTAACCTTGGCGATCCCATCTTCCGCGGCGTATACCACGGCAAGCAGGCGCATGAGGACGACTTCGAGGGCGTGATGGAGCGCGCGTTGGCTGCCGGCTGCGAGAAGATGATGGTGACCGGCTCGGACCTGAAGGAGTCGCAGCATGCGGTTCAGATCGCGAAGGAGCATCGTAAGCATCTCATTTTCTTCATCCTACTATCGTTTCATTTTGCTTCACTTTCTCCCCGTTGTCAATTCTACCCCGTCATCCCTTTCCTCTGTTCGTTTCCACAGAACGTTCATACACATGTCCAACCCACTCATTCACTCACTCACTCTCGCCTTCCCCTCTCCACTCCAGCCGGCCTCTGCTACGCCACCGTCGGCGTGCACCCCTGCTCCGCGAAGCAATTCGACACGCACCCAGGCGGGCCGGACGCGCTGCTCGCGGAGCTGGAGACGCTGGCGCGCACCGCCGCCGCCGCGGGCCACGCCGTCGCCTTCGGCGAGATCGGGCTCGACTACGACCGGCTGTTCCTGACGCCCAAGGAGCAGCAGCTGCGCTACTTTTCCGCGCAGCTCGACCTCGCCGTCGAGCTGCAGCTGCCGCTCTTCCTGCACAGCCGCGCCGCCGCCGACGACTTCGAGCGCCTGCTCGCCGAGCGCCTGCCGCGCCTGCCGCGCGGCGGGCTCGTGCATTCGTTCACGGGCACGGCGGAAGAGATGAGGCGGCTGGTCGCGCTGGGGCTGGACGTTGGCGTGAATGGGTGTAGTCTGAAGACGGAGGAGAACGTCGAGGTCGTGCGGGAGATCCCGCTCGAGCGGCTGCAGATCGAGACGGATGGCCCGTGGTGCGAGATGCGGCCCAGTCATGCGAGTGCGAAGTTCTTGAAGGAGGCGCCGGTGCCGGAGGTGCCCAGGGCGGTTAAGAAGGAGAGGTGGGCGAAGGGGTGTATGGTCAAGGGGAGGAACGAGCCGGCGACTATCCCGCTCGTGGCCCATGTCATTGCGAGGATCAAGGGGGTCGATGTGGAGGTGGTTTGCGACGCGTGAGTTCTGCCCGGAGCGCTTCTGTTCGCTTTTGCTTCTTTGACGGGGTTGTGCTAATGAGTTATTAGGGCTTGGAACAACTCGGTCAGGATGTTCGGGTTGGGGGTGAATGCGGAGTGAGTTAGATGATTTGAAGGGGTCCTGGTCGGTACGATGAATAGAGTAGAGAAGAAAGATATATGTAGACACTCAACACTTCTGCGGTCCTGGAAACGTAAGCTACGAAATGAGAGAAGCCCGTGTTTGGCTTGACAGTGTCACAAGCCTGCGCTTCACTCATTGGAGGCGGACGACTGCATCAAGACCACATGGACACCGTCCCGGGAAGCCTATTTAGGCTGCATGATGGAATGTTCGTTGATTTCTTTGTTTCCCAGCACTTGGTATATCCACAATACATATTGTACAAGACACTTCTCGCACAACAATCCCCTGCCTGAAAACTTACGGGTGGAGCAGCGCACCTCCGCGGGCTTCCTGCCCGGCCTTTGTTGCCGGTATGCTATCCTCGAGCTCTTCAGTGGCTGCCAGGGTGTCGGGGTCCTCAGCATCAGGGGTCGCCGACGGGTCGGCACCGCTGTACATGGCGGCATGCGTCTGGTGCTGCAGCTCGATTTCCTTGAGCGCCCAGGCTTTCCAGTGCTCAAAGGCCTCGTCTTCCAGGCCCATGCCCACCTCAAGCGGGCCCAGGCCGAAGTATGCGCCCACAGCCTGCGCCTCCTCCTTGGCGATGCGCTGCTCGATGGCCTCCTTGTGCCGGAAATCGTAGAATTCCCGGCGCGCTTGATCGTAAGCCGTGGCTTTGTCTAGCTTGGCATGCTGCATGAGCCAACGCTGGCGTTGAACGACGCTGCAGAAAGAATCAATTGAGATGCTCCACCATTGAGTTCTCCCTCGGCTGTCCCGGGGAGGGGGTCCCAAAGAACACGCTCACCTCTCACCGTCCAGCTTCTTGCCCGGCTGGACGATCTTGCTCCAATCCCACTTCTTTCCGTCCGCACCGTCTTCCTCGACTATTATCCTCGGCCGGGCCAATTCCCATGGATGGTCCTTGAAGAACTCTTTCCGCAGGCCGTCCTCGGGATAGTGGAGCTCGGTGGGCTTGAACATGTGGGACGGCTTACGGATGTTCTTCCGTGCGTCCTTCCCGTTGTACGTGCGCTGCAACGGGCGGACGAGTTGCTGCGGAGGCGGCACATTGGCAACCACGTCATACCACGGCGGCGGGACCTTCAGGCGCTTCGTCTCGAGGAGCTGGGTCGCGGCGCGATGCACACGCGAGGCCGCGAAGTTGTAGCGGCCCATTGTCGCGCGGGGCCCGGTACGGTCGGGTCGTGGGGCTCACAGGACGGGGCTGCAGCGGCGGGAGAGGGTCGCGCTGGGCGGGGAGGGCAGCGACGGCAGCGAGTTGGGCGTGGTCGTTGTCGGCGGTGGTGTTGGAAAAGTAGCGTGAAAGATCGCCGGGCTGGCGCGCAAGGAAGCTTTCCGCCGCCCGCGCTGCAAACACCGCGTGCTCGATCTACGAGCAATTATTTTGCAGCCCACTTTGCCCGACCACCACCGGCCACCACCACCCCTCAAGTCTGGAGCATCTGCTCCAGCCAGCGCGGCACCTCCTCCGAGAACGACGACCAACTAATCTGCGTAGCATTCGCCCCACCAATGAATCCCGACCCGGCTGCTTAGCACCATGTCCGCGTCTCATGTCCCTCACATCCAAGTCCTCTCCCCCGGCGGCTGTCTGCATGATAGCGTCCAGGCCACTTCTCGCCCTGCTCTGCCCAGCCACGCTCGCGCCGCCGCACCGCAATCGCTCACCCGCGCAACGCCGCGCCGTCCATCACAATTGCCACGGTAGCGGCAGCAAACCGACCGTCCCCATTCCGCCGCAGCAGATGGACAATTTTTTCATCAACGCCCTCGTGCAGGCTGGGTCTTGTCGGAAGCACCGGCTGTGGAAGCCGATTCCCGTCAATGTCGCGTCGCTGCACAATCACTGCCGCTCGCGACGGAAGAGGGCAGACGAAGGCATTGGTGGTGGGAGAGTAGGTGAGGACGGCAATGCAGCGTCCCGCCGGTTTGGCCATGCCGCCGGACCGCGTAATCGGCAGACGTCCGAGAACAATGGACACAAGAAGAAGCAGGAGCAGCGGGAGCAGCGGGAGCAGCAGGACCAGCAGGAGCAGCCTGTGGTTGCTGCGGGCAACCACCAGCCTACGCTGGCCCAATTGAAGCGCCTAGTTGACTTTTATGGGCCCCCAGCGCGCCTGGAGACATGGAAAGAGCAAGAAGAGAGGGAGGCCAGAGAAGAGGAGGAAGAAGGTGGTGGGCTAACGCTATCGGACCAGCAAGGCGTCGACGAGGACGGCGACGTCAAACAAGCGCGCCTCCCCTTCCACCAAAGGCATCAGCCGTGGCCGAACAAGGACGAGGTGGAGAACGAATCAATCGGTGAGCTGGAAGAGCTGCTGGAGCACGACGGGCTGTCGCCGGAGCTCGCGTACGAGATCTACTCGAGCCTGTCGTGGCCCCGCGCCGCCTACCTGTCGTACAACACCATCCGCAACCTGCTGCACTGCCTGGGCGTCGTGAGGCACTACGGAGAGAAATCGATGATGAGATATCTGGCCGTCATCGACGACATGAAGGCGGCGGACATCCCGATTGCGCTGGCGGATTGGAACATGGCGATCCAGTTCGCGGGAAAGTGCTTGCGCAAGGTCACGAACAACGAGGTCGAGTCGGCGCTGTGGCTGTGGCGAGAAATGGAGCAACAGGTCGGGACGAGGGGCAACCACGTCACTTTCAATATCCTCTTCGACATTGCCGTCAAGGCTGGCAAGTACAAGCTCGCGGAGATGATCAGGAACGAGATGAAAGCCAGAAACCTAAAACTGGATCGATTTTTCCGGACGAGCACAATCATGTGGCGTGGGCTGTCGCGGGACGGAGAGGGCGTCAGGAAGGCGTACAAAGAGCTGGTGGAGGCCGGGGAGATTGTAGACTCGGCCGTGATGAACTGCGTCATCACGGCTTTGTTCAACGCGGGTGAGCCTTCGGCGGCAGAACAGGTGTTTTTGCGGATGAAGGATATGGCAGGCGTGTTTGAGACGACGAAGAAACCGCCGCAGGACTGGCGGCAACGCCGCGAGCTAGGTCTTCTGTTGAAGAAGGCGGCCGAGCGGACACGAGGCGATTCCGAGGGGCAGAGAATCATCCAGGAGCATTCGCCTGTGGGTCCAGACCACGGTACATTCAAGATCCTCATCAAGCACCATATAAACGAAACCGGCAACATCGACCGCATCACGCAGCTGCTGGACGAAATGGACCGTGTCTACAACATCCCGATCGAAGGCGATATTTTTTTCGCGTTGTTCTGGGGCTTTCACAATCACGGCGGTGTACGCTACTCGCCGTGGTCTAAGGCGAGATTGGAGGGCACGTGGCGGGCTTTTCTCATGTCTCTCGACAATGAGAGTTCGAAAGTCACGTTGGATCGCAGCATCACCAAGGCCGTCATCATGGCATTTTCCAAATGTACGAATGAGGAACAGACGTTACGGGTATGGGGGGAGATCAGGCAGAGATGGAATCCATCCGGAGCGGATCTGCAAAGTACTATTCATCTTCTGGGTAATGTTTCGTACTCGGCGACGTATGTACCACCAGCATGAAGGGGCAGGCTATGTTTTGGGGCTTTTGCTAGATATCATAGAATTGTATGTAGATATGGACGCAGGATGGGAAGGGAAAAATGGGACGGCTGGGTCGTACGGGAAAGCCTTGGGGGGATTGTATATATCCAAACAATGTATGATGATGCCGCAGCCCGAGTCGATGTCCAGGGGTGACGTTGAACTGCCGTTTGGGGAAAGCTCCGGCGGCAAGTCGTTGCCTAAGTAGCAGTAAGCGACGGCCTGACTTCGCGTCACCGCGTCGCCCTGTGCCACGACCATCAACCACGCGTCGCGCTGAGCAGTCATCCACGGCCCTCGAGCAACCATCTCGCAACACGTGCAGTGGACGACGATGAGGCCGATTGCATGCTCGCACTACTGCCTTCTCCGCACAGTGTCGGACCCGATCCTTTCCCGATAGCCTGTCTCCATCGCTTCCCTTCCACGCCTGTTGGCATCGCCACCTCTTGGCCTTGACACGTCTTTCTTTGCTTCGGGCAGCTTTCTCTCCTTTACATCTCATTCCAACGACGTCAGCATGCCGGCCGAGAGGAGGAACTCCCGGTCTATGATCGACATCGATTTCACGCTGAAGAGAATCTTCGGTAAGAAAACCTTCAGGTATGCCTTGGATGCTTGAGCTCACTGATTGGAGCGATTCGCTGAGCATGAAATGATAGACCCTTGCAGCGGGAAATAATCAACACTGCTCTGGACGGACATGATGTTTTCGTGCAAGCGGCAACGTCATTCGGAAAAAGCCTTTGCTACCAGCTGCCTGCGGTGATAGACCACGGTCGTACGTACACCCTCGGGCTTGGATTCTGCTAGCCTGCTGACGGACCCAGTCACAATTGTCGTTTCTCCTCTTCTGGCACTGATGGTATTTCGCCGCACCCGCCTGGCCCTGTCATCCATTTACTAACTTTAGTCTCAGAACAACCAAGTGGCGGCGCTCAGGGCTGCTGATATCCGGGTCGCAACCATCAACAGCACAATTCCGTATTCGCAAAAGACCGTCATTATGGAAGACCTACAGTGTGGCCACCCCCGTACCCGTCTTCTGTACATCACTCCCGAGTACTGTCAACTGGACTCCTTTCGCCGCATTCTCCGCATCATCCACTCCCACCGCGAGCTCGCCCGCATCGCTGTAGACGAGGCTCACTGCATCAGCGAGTGGGGTCACGACTTCCGACCCTCGTTCAAGAACTTGTCCTTTTTCAAAAACGAGTTCCCAGATGTCCCGATCATCTGTCTGACCGCTACGGCCACCGCTCGAGTCCGAAATGACATCATCAAAATCCTGGAGTTGGATCCCGAGAAGCTCAAGCTCTTCACCATGACTACGAACAGGCGCAACCTCCACTACGAGGTAAGATTCAAGAGCGACGAGGAAGACCACTACGACAACTTCGTCGCCTGGCTCCGCGCCGTCCAGGCCCGCCGAAGCGCCGACCCAGCCCGCGTCGCCGCCCTCAAAGCCGCAGGGAAACGCCCCGAGGCCATTTCCGGCATCATCTACACGCTGTTCCGCCGGGACTGCGAGTCGTTGGCACAGCGACTGCGCGAGAGCGGCATCGGCGCGCGGCCTTACCACGCCGGCTTGTCGAACGCGGAGCGGGACAGGGCGCTGGCGGGATGGGTCGCCAACGCGCCGGGCTTCGAAGTCGTGGTGGCGACGACGGCGTTTGGCATGGGCATCGACAAGGAAGACGTGCGCTTCGTGGTGCACTGGCAGCTGCCCAAGAGCTTCGAGGGATACTACCAGGAGGCGGGGCGCGCGGGCCGCGACGGCAAGGCTGCGGCATGCATCCTGTACTATGCGCGCGAGGACCGCGATCGCGCGGTCGTGATGATGGCGAGGGATATGCCGAAGGATGCCGGGCACAACAGAGCGGCGTTGGAGAAGCACAGGAGCAGGGCGGAGAGTCTGAAGAAGCTCGTCGATTATTGCGAGGAGACGAAGAGGTGCAGACACAGGTTGATCGCCGCATACTTTGGAGAGGGCGAGGAGGCGGTCTCGTGCGAATGGGCGTGCGATTGGTGCAAGGACCCGATAGCGCTGTTGAAGAGGAAGGACGGGGGCTTGGCGAGCGAGGAATGGTGCTCGACGCAAATGGAAAGCGGGGCGTATGGCGGTGATGCATATGATTAGTGTGACCGACTGCCAAGCTTGTTTGTGGGCAGAGTATAGTATGTACTTTGCAGATTTGGTGAGGTTCGGTATCCGGAGACCTTGGAGGTAGAAATGAGTCGTCTATAGTAACATTACAGTGACCGGTCATCGGTTCGTGCTTGGGGAAGAAGGTTAATCGAGATAACACGGCGGGTCGAAGGGAAAAGAAAATGATGCGGCCTGAGACTAAACATAGTCAGGGAAAGTCTATCCAGCCACTCACAGAGTGACGCCAGAATTGTCTTTGCAACTACGACGTGGAAGGATGAGGGTGCGACTGCTGGAAATAATGGGAGGGTTGGACGGCAGGCGGGTACGACAAGTCTATGGATGATATGTGGCTTTTATGAGTACGATAGGCAGTATGGTGGACTCGGCATCGGCGAATTGCGATGGATGGTGGCGATCATGAGGAGTGTCCCGCCGCGAGATGCGGACACTGCCCCGGTATGGAGGGCCGTTGTGTGTGGGATTGGTAGAACGTAATTGCACTGACATGGGGATAGTCGAATAGCGTACTCCAGAGATGGTGTTCTGAAGAGCACCATTTGAGATGAGCATTTGAAGAAATGGATTCGTTCCACCAAATCGGAGTGATACTCTTCTGCGAGATGAATCCATCCCCCCACCACAACCCTCCTACCTCCCCCTATCTCCACCTTTCCCCCCTCCTTCCTCCGACCGGCCATCCACCGCAACCTCCACAACCATCCCACCCTCCCCCTTCCCCACCCCACCCCCTCTCTCCTCCTCCCCGTCCCCCTCACCGATCCCCCCTCCTCCTCCAACACCACCCCTCTCCAGCCCCTCCACCCCCTCCCCCTCCCCTTTCTCCTCCTCCAACCCCCTCCCCCCAACCCACCACCTCAACCCAAGAATGAAACCCCCACTGACGACCGCAAACGCCGTCGCCAGCGGGAAGCCGAGCGGGTAGCGCGGGCTGTCGCTCGTGCGCCACGCGCGCAGCGGGATGGTGGCGTGGCCGACGTAGACGAGGGTGACGGCGGCGCCGACGGCGACGCTGCGCGCCTCGGGCTCGCGCCGCAGCAGCTGCGCCAGCCACGCGACGAGCGCGTAGCCCCAGGCCGCCGTCGTGAAGGTGAGGAAGTAGAAGGTCAGGATCGTCGGGGTGGAGCTGCCCGGCCAGGCGGAGAGGACGGCGCAGCTGAGGGTTTGGATGGCCTGTGTGGAGGGTTTGGGTCAGTAGGAGTGTGGTGGGGTTGGGGGTTTTGGGTGTGTGGTGGGGTTTCTGGGTGGGTGGGTGGGTGGATGGGGGGAGAATGAGGGGGGTGGTGCTGTGGGGTATTGTGGGAATCAAGGGCTGGGGCTGACTTACGACGGCGAAGATGGAGACTTGCCAGCGCCAGTTCTTGTAGTCGCTGATGGCGTTGAGCCCGATGGAGCTGATGATGGAGAGGCCGTAGCCGCCGAGGGGGATGAGGTTGACGGTCGAGGTGCTGAACAGGGGAGTCGTGCCGTCGGCGCGGGTGAGGCCCTTGAGGTAGAGGAGGAAGTAGGAGTTGGCGCGCTGGCTCCAAGCGTAGGGGAGGTAGGCTGTGTTGTCAGCTCGAACGGGCTTCTGCTGTTGGGGAGCTGCCTTTGCAGACTTACCCAGGATGAAGAACCAGCAAACGGGGTTGGTGACCATCTTCCGCAGCCTGACGGCCAGCGTCTTGCGGTCGATCATCTTGGCCGTCTCCGTTCCGTGGTCTGACATGCGTGTGCGGGCCAGCTCGCGTTCTGCCCGCGTGAGCCACAAAGCGCGGGTGATGGCGGGGGAGTCGGGGATGGTGAAGAGGCCCAAGAATCCCCAGAACATGGTTATCGCGCCACTGTGCCGATTTACAAGGTCAATTAAAGAAGAACAGAGTAGCACGGTCGAACTTACGAGACAATGAAGAGCCATTGCCATCCCTCAAGACCGTTCACGCCGTCGAGGTTATTGTACAGGGCTGCTTGGAGAACCCCGAGGAACATGTTGCCGACCACGCCGCTGACGCCGAAGATGGCGAGGCGAGTCGCAAGCTCTTTGGGAGTGTACCAGTTGAATATCAGGGCTACGAGGCCCGGCCATGATGTCTGCAATCACCGACGTCAGCGCCAGCCACCTGGTTGGCTAATGATGCAGGACGCCTACCGACTCGAATATGCCAAGAAAGAAGCGGATGGCGTAGACGGTTTTGGCATTTTGTGACCTGTACGTCCTGCAGGTCCACGTCAATTGCTTATCTCGCCGGGTATTTGCAGCATGAATACCTACACCAAAGTGAGAGTACCCCAGATTATCTCGCAGATGGGTAGAAACAGTGAGGGCCGCCACTGATATCGGCATTGGCGTGTCAGCGAACACAAGGCTGCGCTCAGGAAGTGATTGCCTACCATGGTCTGTATGATTTGCGCAGGCACAATGCCGAGTGCATAGCCAATGGAGAAATAGGTAGTAAACTCGACAAGCTCATTGCCATTGAGGCTGAGAGCCTCCTTCATCCCCGAGACGTAGGCCTGAGTCGTAGCTGATTGGTCCATGTCCTAACTCTTCAGTGTCAGAATGAAGTCTGCAGTACCACCTGCCAGATCTGCTGACCTTGGTCAATCCTGCGACAAAGGCCCAAGCCAGGAGGAAAACGTCTATCTTGAGCAGCAGGCGACGTTCAGGATTCGCAATCGGCTTGGAAAGTGTACGCCACCATTGTGGACTTTGGCTCTCCGTAGTCATGATGATGGCAGTGATGTCTTTCCGTCAGTTGCACGTACAGACGGAAAGGAAACAGTTGGTAGTCCTTGAAGAGCAGACTGCCTCATCGTTGACATCAAGGATCCATCTCGAAAATGCCTGCTGCATGCTGCAAAGTTGCCTTACGAATATGGACCCAAACTTGCGTGCTCGGCAAATGTCTTGGTAGCAGCAGTAGCTCTCAGAGTAGGGCAATAGTCAGCGTCCACTGCCAAGCCTGGTTGGACACGAGTAAACCACGGCAGACAAGTGTTCTTCTCGTGCATCTGGTGAGGCACTGTTCGCTTTCCCACACCCGCACATAGCAGCACAACCCAAAGCGGCCGGAAAGCAGAAGCTGGGAGACAGCCTATCGGCAATTGAACAATGTCATCGGCTAATGCTGTTGGTTCCTTAGTCATGATGCGGAGCAAGCCGGGGCAGATGGGCCTGGACCAGTACCGAGAGCAGCCACCGAGTTCCCGTCCCGGAGAAGCTTCCATCGGTGGACAGAGGCAGGACCCTCGCCGGGCCGGACCGTGCAAAGCCGACTGCAAGGTCTTCGGGGCGGCGAGGACTCATGCAGGTGAAGCGAAGCGGCAAATCATATTTGGGGAGTGAAGCCACAAGCAAGCGTCCAGGCCAGCAACCCCCACACCATGGCCGCCACTAGATTAATGAAAAAGTCGCCACTTAGGCAAGAGATACTACCCTTCGATCGTATAGGACCGGCGTCGTGGATCCAATATTCCGCGGAGAAGCACCCATCGTCGGACAGGGCTTCCTCGTAGGTTCACTTGGCCGGCATTGCCGCAACAGCAGGAAATTAAAGGTGAGGCGCGTATTGTAGGATTGGCCCGGGTGGGGCCATGTCGACATGACCAGCGAGAGCGGTTTTTTGCGGGGCCGGGTTCGATGTGCAAATATCAGCTCCCTCTTGCGAAATCGCCTTGGCGAGCAACACCAAGGGCGCTCCGCAGAGAAGCATCGCGACGCCATTCCCAAACCATGCGGGATCGACCACAGCGCATCGCCGTATCGAGTAAGGCGCGCGGGAACTAAGTGCAACGCGTGGACGGGCTTGACGGTCGATGGTAGTCGATGGTAGCACAAATGGGCAGTTGCCGCTGACGACGGCTTCAGCCTCCGCCGCTTGTCGTTGCTTTTCCACCCGCCCATCCCACGCGTCCCTGAAGAAAACGAATCCCTACCGTCATCGCTTGCTTCAACCGCGTCTACCCGCACAGCGATCAGCATGGTCGCCTCAACCACCAGCCCCCGCTCCCAATCCGAGCCTCTCTACCCGCACTACCTGCCCGTCCGGCCCGAAGGCTTCACGCCCACGCTCGCCGTGCCCCCCTTCGATGCCGTCGAGCCCGGCCTTCGCGCCGACCCGGCCAAGCCTGACATCTTGGGCGCGAAGGGCGCGAGCGTGCAGAACATGACGCCGCGCATTGGGACCGAGATCCGAGGCGTGCAGCTGAGCGCCTTGTCCGCCGCCGGCCTGGACCAGGTCGCGCTGCTGGCGGCCGAGAGGGGCGTCTTGGTGTTTGTAAGAACATACCTGCAATTCATTGATGACTCGCCGTTTGGGATATTTCCGCATTGGGCCATTTTTTGACGCGTGTGCATCTTCTGTTCGCGCCTGCTCTGCGAGTAGAGAGACCAAGACTTTGCGGACATCGGCTTCGACCGCCAGCGCGAGATCGCCGAGCACTATGGCCCGCTGCACAAGCATCCCACCATGGGGCACCCGGCGGCCACGGGGCCCGAGTTCCACGTCGTGTACGCGGACGAGAAAGTGTGAGTAGCAGCCAGCCAGCCAGCCAGCCAGCAAACCCATCCATCCATCCATCCCCATCCCCCCTCCACACCAACCAAACTTACCAACCCACCTCCAACAGCGGCACCCTCCGCACCCTCCTCGGCCCGCACACCACCCACACCCTCTGGCACATCGACCAAACCTTCACCCCCAACGTCCCGTCCACGACGCTCTTCTTCGCGCTCGAGCTCCCCTCCTCGGGCAGCGGCGGCGACACGTGCTTCGCCTCCCTCACCGCCGCCTACGCCGCGCTCTCGCCCACCTACCGCGCCACGCTGCACGCCCTCTCGCTGCTGCACACGTCGGCGTCCCCCGGCGAGGTCGCGCGGCTGGGCGCCGAGCGCGCGGCGCGCGAGGCCGTCCGCGCGGAGCACCCGCTCGTCATCGCGCACCCGGTGACGGGGGCGCCCGCGCTGTTCGTCAACCCGGCGATCGCGAGGGCGGTCGTGGGGTGTCTGCCCGAGGAGAGCGAGCACCTGCTCGGGTGGCTGCAGCGGCATGTGGCGAGTTTGGACTTTTCGTGTCGGGTGAGGTGGGAGAAGGGGACGGTGGTGGTTTGGGATCAGGTGAGTGGGACTACTGGCTGAGAGAGAGAGAGAAG